TGCAAGACTTTATTCCATATGTACTCGCATTCATTTCAACAGTTGAGATGGGGCAAAGCCTTTCTGCATATTGCAGTCTGAGATATACATGGGGAATGGAGTCTCTGGATCTGTAGGGACAGGAGTTTTCTATGAAGCTCCAGTATCCCCTCCTCATGACAGAATGGCTTATACAAAAACCATGCTGACTTTGGGTTCCCTTGTGATTAACTAATAGCAACGGTGAGGATTTCATTCAGCTGCAAGCTCCTTTATTAAATCCCTGCCAGGTTTTCACACACAAATCCAAGGGCTCAGTAAAGAGCAGTGCCAGAGAACAGCGGGACTTGCTCCATCAACATATGATTGGTAGTCTTTGCCTGAGAAAAATATAGGACTAGAATAGCATGGGTGTTGCAGGTCAGGAAATAGGAGTTGTTAGTAGAGGAGAAGCTTGCACGCTGGTCACTCTGTGCGTCCTCTAGTCAAAGCTTATTTGTCCCTCACTTTCAGTAGCATCAAAAAATCATCCATAAATGTTTGAAAAGAAAAAATGCTTAGGGCTGAATTTTAAAAAAAATTGTAAAGAAGTTACCTGTTCTAGCCAGCCATGCAGCTGAATATCACAAGTTCCCAGAACTCAGCTCATGACTCTGGGATTCCCTAATCAATGTATGATACAGTCTCCAGAAGAAAGGCAACATTAGCTCTGCATCTAGTTCATCAAGTTGGTGGGTGACATATCAGCATGCCATACTTGTTCTGAATATTTGTGAAATAACCTTGAACTGTGTAACTCTGAAGCCTTGAAAGACTAAGGGATTTATTCTGCTTGCAGTTATATTGATGTAAATGTGGAATACATCATCTGAAGCCAATAGCTATTCCAGATTTACTCTGGTGTAACTGGGAGTAGAATTTGTTCCTGAATTAGAAAATTAGTCATCTTTTTATTTAATTTCTTGTAACATATTATATTGATGACACCTACCCAATAGGAATCTAACTTAAATATCCAATTCCTACTTTCATTTACTTTTACTACAGTATTATTAATTAAATAATGCATCCTTAGAATACTGCATCTGAAGGTTTTATCATTTCACCGACTAGGAGTACTTTTTGTGAGACACTGCACTAGAGTTAATATTTGTTTAATAACTAGTATAAAATTATTCCTACCCCTTAAGTGAGCACTTGTTGCCTCTCTAAATATTTGGTTTTAGTGTAGTGCTGTCTGATAAGTAACAAACATGGTAGATTTGCAGTGGATTGTGTTAAACGGTATTTTGCAAGGAACTGCTGGCTCATTCTTTTTCTTGTCACAATTCTGTGTAATAAACAATGGAAATATTTTTCTAATCTGTTCAGGTGTAAGCCAGCGAATAAAACAGTGACCTAAACAATGGACATATAAATATAAACATTAAATACAAAGGCCACTCAAAGGTTAAGAAACATCAAAGGTTGAAGAAATGGATGTGTCTGTTGTTTGAACCTTGTCCACTGTCTGCACAGTAATTTAGATCACAGCATTTTGAGGCTGAGTCAGCCCAGCCTTCAAGGGGCAGGGTTTTTCTTAGTGTGTATTGAACAAATGCCAGCCTATTGTTGTCTGAAAAGACAACATGTACTAAAGATGAGAAACAGGAAATGTTCATTTGTCCTTCTAATGGCGGAAGAATTTTTCCCAATTCCACATGTTGATGTAATTGTTCTAAACAATATTTTTCCTCAAAATACGCAACAGCTAGATCATTGGAACAACAGTGACGGCTATTTGATTTAAAGTCATGTCACCTGATTATATAGTGGCGATGTAAGGGAAAACTACACTCAATTTGATCTGAACGCACAGGGATGTTTTTTTAGTTTGGTTTTTTTACAATTCATTAGTTGTGAAACGTTATTCAAAATAACATTTGTTATTGAATCATAGGACTGGAAGGGACTTTGGGAGGTCATCTAGTTCAGTCCCCTGTACTCCTGGCAGGACTAAGTATTATCTAGACCAATGTTTCCCGAGGTTGGGACGCCGCTTGTGTAGGGAAAGCCCCTGGCGGGCCGGGTCGGTTTGTTTACCTGCCCCGTCCACAGGTTCGGCCGATCGCGGCTCCCACTGGTCACGGTTCGCCGCTCCAGGCCAATGGGGGCTGCGGGAAGCAGCAGCCAGTACATCCCTGGGCCCGCGCCACTTCCCGCAGCCCCCATTGGCCTGGAGCAGCGAACCACGGCCAGTGGGAGCCGTGATCAGCTGAACCTGCGGACGTGGCAGGTAAACAAACCGGCCCTGCCCGCCAGGGGCTTTCCCTACACAAGCGGCATCCCAACTTTGGGAAACACTGATCTAGACCATCCCTGACATGTATTTGTTTAACCCTGCTCTTAAAAATCTCCAACAATGGAGATTCCATAACCTCCCATGGCAATTTATTCCAGTGCTTAACCACCCTGACAGTTAGGAAGTTTTTCCTAATGTCCAACCTAAACCTCCCTTGCTGCAATTTAAGCCCATTGCTTCTTGTCCTATCGTCAGACGTTAAGGACAACAATTTTTCTCCCTCCTTCTTGTAACAACCTTTTATGTATTTGAAAAATACAGTCTTCCCTTCTCCAGACTAAACAAACCCATTTTTTTAAATCTTCCCTCATAGGTCATGATTTCTAGACCTTTAATCATTTTGGTTGCTCTTCTCTGGATTTTCTCCAAAATTGTCCACATCTTTCCTGAAATGTGGCACCCCGAACTGGACACAGTACTCCATTTGAAGCCTAATCAGCACAGAGTAGAGCAGAAGAATTACATTTTCTTCTTCAAGTGCTTGCTCATATCAATTCCAATTAGGTGTGCGCGTGCTGCGTGCATGGCCATCGGAGAATTTTTACCCTAGCAACACCCGGTGGGTCAGCTGTGGAGCCCCCTGGAGTGGCGCCTTCATGGCCCTGGATATATACCCCGGCCGACCCAGCGCCCCCTCAGTTCCTTCTTACTGCCCGTGACGGTCGTTGGAACTGTGGAGCTTGGCTTTGCTACTCTCCACTCTCCCTAGCATTTCCCTACAGTTTGTTAATAGTTTGTTGTTGTAGTAGTGTTATAGATTTTAATAGTTGTAGTTCTAGTTATAGTATAGTAGTTGGTATTAGTGGGGGAGAAGGGGTTTAGCTCTGGGCTTTAAGCCCTGCAGATCTTGCTCCAAGCCCACGCCAACGAGCGACCCCCACGACTCTTGCCTGAAGTGTCTGGGGAATCTCACCAGGCAGAGAAGTGTAGGATTTGCAAGAGCTTTCACCCCCCAGACTAAGGAGTGAGACTTTCGTTTGAGACAGCTCTTAGTCCTCAGCCTCCAGCGTCGCGGCAAGACCCAGTGCCGAGTGCTTCGCTACACAGCGCCCCGGTTTCAGCGACAGGAATGGTACCGCGCTCGGACTCTGATAGAGAGCCACGGCACAGATGTTCCCCGGCACTGCAATCAACTTCTGCAGTCCGGCACTGCTCTCACTCGCCCGGCCAGAAGTGGCACTGGAAGCCGGAAAAGGTTGGCCCACGTCCACCCCTTCTGGATCCACCTGCAGAACCTCGTCCCCCAGCAGAGCACCTGGGGACA